GGGCAACTGTGAGGCCGGGCATTCGTTGCTGAAACTGAGTGGGGACACCGTCCGTCTGATCGTTGGCGGCGCGGCTAAGGCGGGAGGATTAGGAGGAATAGAAATGGGAAGGGAATTTTAACTCATGCGGTGAGATACAGGCCAGGCTCGCGCCCGCGCAAAACCACCCAGTAGCTCTGCGACTCCTCATGGCCAGCAAAATCGGCGGCAAGCTGGTCGGGAGTTGCAGGGGTTCCCTCAACGAAGGTGGGTTCGAGGACGGCTGGGGAATCGGGTCAGCCAGGCCTGAGCCATGAAGGGGAGACACAACCCACATTCACCGCCGAGGATGGTCGAAAGATTGGCTGAGGGACGAGTTGAGTGGGATCCGACGGATAAAAGAGAGCTTTACCTTGGGCGGCGGCGGTGAGACGGGCAATCGTTTGAAGATGCCTGATTAAGGCCGCCATCTCCGGGGTTTTGGGGAGAGCGATGTCGATGGCGGGGAGAGCCGTCACTGCCGTCGAAAGTGCAGGAGAAGCTGGGGCAGCGTCAGCTACAGTCGAAGGATCGAGGTTGGACATGAAGGAGGGGGAGGAATTACGAGCGGTCGATGGGTGATGATCGAGAAGGTGGGGCACGCAGCATGCTTTATATCCAGGCAATCAGATGCGTTGCTAACGCATCTCGATTGTGATTTTTGGAATTGCTCCGATTGGGAAACTAATAAAAGGGTCAGCAAGGGGGGCGTATGTGTTATTTGATTGAGCCTACATTCCTGAAACAGCGACAAGGAAATGGCGCGATGGTCGGGCGCGCAGAAGAACTTTTTCGCGCGGTAGATGGAGCCTTGGCGCAGGTCGAATGAGGAAGAGACTGAGCAGCTGGACCGCGCTATGATAGCGAGGAACAAGGTCAGCGGCGCGTCTGCCTGCAAAGAACTCGACAGACTCACATTTCTCAGCAGGCAGGGAATAATTTCCACAATAAGGCGAGGTTTGCCGGCGGGCCGTGATGCAAAGAGGAAGGGGGTGGATCTGCGTTGAAAGGGGTTGGCCAAAACAACAGCGTAAAATAGAGTACTCACCTGTGCGCGCGTTACATCAACAAACCAAAGAACTGCGTTTATCTCTCCATCCCCGTTATACACACCATACATCCAGAATGCCACCGAAGGGCTGGCAGACCAAAGAGCAGAAGGCGTTCTTCACGCTGTGGATGCCCGAGTTTTTGGTGAAAAAGGCGGCAAAGAACCTGGACGGCTTCTGGAACAAGATGAAGCAGGCTTGGTTCCAGGAGTTCCCCGAGGAGTTGGAGCTGAACCTGCCGGTGCAAGTGTTTGACCCAGACCCGAACGTCCCACATCCGCGTAAGCTGACTGAGGACGAGGAGGCGCTACTGGGTGATGCTATAACCGCGAGAAACGAGGTCAGTCGCGCGTCTCTGGAGTCAAAAAACGCGTCGAGCTCACACTTTCCAGCAACTGCGCAACGCGTTCTTCAATAGCTACGCAAAGATTAGAAAGCAGCGCGGGGGAGTCAGTCGTTCGACGTCTGGGCTTGCAGCTATGCTCTTCAAGCAGCACCCAAAGCGCAAACGTCGCCACCAGGTTCTCGAGGTGTATCAGCAGCAGCACAAGACCACCGTCAAAGCCGCGCTACAAGAATCGGAGTACGTCGAGCTCAACGAAGCTGCGCAGCGCCGCACCGAGGACGGGGAGTGGATTGACGATGCCGACGACGAAGAGAAAGCCGCACGGCTCAGCAGTACCCGCAAGAAGCGCATGGAAGTGCAGCGGCGCGTCGTCCGGGAGTGTTGGGAGGCGGAGGACGAGGCGGTTCAGGAGGAGGTGCGGAAAAAGACGAGGACCGAGGTCAGAGTCAAGCCGAGCGAGGACGAGGACCCAGAGGACGGTCAGGTACCGCAGAGAACGCCGGAGGAGTATCAAATGTAGGGCATTGCTTTGACTGGACCAGACATTCGGCTCATTGGCTTGGCACCAGGTCGTTGGACGAGTCGATGCAAGTAGCTGAGATTTTCTTGACCGAATTCGCGAGAATGACCGGTTGGGTGGGGGCCTTGGTGTACGCAGGGCCTGTACCGCGACTTGGAGGTGACCTGGGATTCAAGAGGTGAGAGTTTCCTAATTGGGAACGCTTCGACTCACACACTCACAACCTTCTCAGTTACTCTTTTGGGCTTGACGCGGGCGGCGTCAACTTCGAAAACTTCCACAGCAACTGGAAGAAGGGCGTGGTTAACCCGCTCTGCAAGTTCGCTCGAAAGGCTATCCGTGAGTGTTTTGTACATCGAATTCGAAGTGGAGATCTCAATCCCACATCAGCGCGCGAAACGCGCACTGCACGCGCGATCGAGAAACCTGCGGACGAGCAAGAGCAGGATGAATCCGCGTCCGAAGGCACGGTGGCAGAGCAGCCGCCGCGGCGCCCGCGCAAGAGCAACTCGAAGTCCAAGAGCGCCGCCGCCAAAGGGCCCAAGAAGCGTCGGACTCCAACTTCGAGCCTACCGCACGCTCCCAGCCCGTCCGTGGATCCATGCCCTGTCGGTGCCTACGAGAACGATTTTCAGGCGCGCGCTGGATCTGAGGACGCTGGATCTGAGGACCGCAGCTTGGTCTACGATGGCCGCGCGCTCAACAACTATGACAGTTCCGGAGAGTACGAACCCGACTTTCAGGCGCGCGCTGCGTCTGAGGATCCAGAGCTGGACTATGGTCATTCCGCACACGACAACGACAACTTCGGCAGTTCTGGTGTCGATCTCTCGTCCAGCACGTTCTTCGGTGACGACGCCTTGCCTAACACATTCGGCATGTCCCCCCACCTCGTCCACCGCCTTCGGCTTGTCCCCCACCTCGTCCAACACTTTCGGTATCTCCACCTCGTCCAACACCCTCGGTATGTCCTCCAACGTATTCCTGGGGGACAACACCTCCTCCGGCACCAACAACGCCTCCTTTGCATTCAATTACGATGGGAACGACTACCTCGGCGTCAATCCAAACGCGCTCGCGCCCGACGTCACCACCGAAGACAATCACGCCTTCTCCGACTTGGGCGTGAGCAGGAGCGCCTTCTCCGACTCGAGCGCGAGCAGGAGCGCCTTCTCCGACTCGAGCGCGAGCAGGAGCGCCTTCTCCGACTCGGGCACGGGCAGGAGCACCTTCTCCGACTCTGGCGACATTTCAAGCACCCCTGAAAATGGTTGGGGTGTCGACCTTGACCCCTTCGCCTCTGCGCCGAGTGAGGAATCGGTTACGGCTCCGCCGCGGCCTACGCCGAAGCCACCTCGGGTCGCATTGGGCGCACCGTCATCGGCGTTCACGTTCGGACGAGAGCCGCAATACCGGCCGCTATACTCGGGCCGTTCGCCCTCGAGCTCCACAGGCGACACCTCAAAATTCCGTTATCATCCTCCTGCTGCTGCGCCGATAATGGTGTCCACTGGTTTGGCGCCAGGCGCGGCCACACTCTACGGTTCCATCCCAACGCCTGCTACCCCAAGCTCGCGTTCTGCGGCGACGTTTGCGGCGCCTCGCCCAGCCCCGGAGGCGGCGCCCTCTTCTGCTTCAAGATCTGCCACGAGGGGCACAAACTCCGCCTCGTCGTCGGCAGCTGGTCCAGCGACGCCAACGCGCTCCCCTGCAACGCCCTCTCCAACGAGCGTCGGTCGAGTTGGGGGTGCCATCGGTGGCACTGCGGGGACACCACAGCACAGGTCATTCGCGCCGGCTCGATCCTCTCCCCTCACCGCACCACCTTGGCAGCCGGAATCGCGAGGCGCGTCACCTCCGGGTATGACGCTGCCCCCTCGGCTCCGACCGTCACCTGAGCGACCCCGCGGGAGCTCTTCGTCGGGTAAGACGCTGAGCCCACTGGTATGGCCGAAATCGCGTCCGCCGGCCAACGAGCCCAAAAGAGCGGCCCCAAAGGCTTCGCCAACAGCCATCGCGAAGAAAATGGAGACAGCGAGGGCGGCTAAGAAGATTGCGACGAAGAAGGCGGCGACGGGTAAAAGGAAAGCACAGGAGGCAGAGAGTAGTGTGGGTGGGATGGAGGCCGGGACGGGAGAGGCGGTTGGGCGTAAAGGCAAGGGCAAGGAGGTGGAGGCTCCCGCGGAAGCAGGCACGGCGGCACCGGCGGGGCCTGCCCTCATACACTCCATCACCCCTCTTAACCCTGGGGGACTGCGTCGGGAGGCAGAGGCGAGGAAGGAGAGGGAGGCGCGCTTGGCGGCGGAATACAAGGCGAATAGCAAGTACAACAACCCCGACGGCAATTCCCCAATAGTCGTGGTGCCTCTGCCGCCGGACGCCCCTCGCCCACGCCGCGTGCCCGTGCCTCGGCGGACTATGGGGGCAATCGTCAGCCTGGTTGACGAGCGGCAGGCGAGGGACGATGCGAAGCTGCTGGCGGCGCTGAAGGGGAGTGGGGATAGGATGGCGGCGAACATGGGCACACGGGGCGCGAACCGAAGGGGGACGGAGGAGAACCAGGAGAAGGCGACGGCGAAGAGCAGCGCGAAGGGGACGGGCAGGAGTGGCGCGAAGGGGAAGGAGACCGCGAAGAGCAGCTCTTCGGGAGGTGCTGCCACGAGCCATAAGAGGAAGGCTGCCGCCAACAAAAACAGTGAGCCCCAGCCGCCGAAGAAGAGGTACGCGTTTGTTCCCTATGCTAATCTCCACGCACTAACTGTTATCTTTCCCTTCAGAGCAAGGGCGACGTAGATTCTACATACCGTACCCCTCGTCTTTGATTCTCACGTCGCAACCGATTTCACTTACAATGTAACCACTAGTAGAGTATAATGTCCTTGTAGCACGAGAAGAAGTGCGTCAGGACTTGGTTCCTAGCACAAGGATTTTGTTATGAATCACGACGTCGTTTAATATCATGCTGAGCTGCCTTTCCCTAAACAGGCGTCGCTTTTGCCTTCGAGGATGTGGTTTGGGTACTTAGTATCTATTTTGAAGTCACAGAAAAACAAAAAAACAAAAATAACGACTTGACCACGATTCGAACGCGGGTCCTCAACATTTTTGATTATGGAATTCCGATAAGCAGCCAGTGGCCACTCGAAGAAGCATAAGTCGAGGTGTTACCAACTACACCATCAAGTCTATATAATTTGGCGAAGGGAAGGAGTAATGCTCTCAATTTGCAGAATCTTTTTAAACAAAAAAAAAATTACAAGTCCGATTTGATGACAAAAATATTAAAAGCAGTCTACATAAATCATGTGGGGGAAGGCTGAAGGTATGAAGGGGAAGGTAAAGGGACTTGGAGGACGCGGCGCGGTCGAATAGGCGGAGGAGATGTGGTGGAACGGTGGTATAGTCCAAAAGGGGTTGTAGGGCGAGGTACGTGGGGCGTGGAGCCGATCTGAGCATACAGGCAGGATGGTGGGACATGGCCCGACCTCTGCCCGGCGATAGACGGCTCCCGAGCGCGCCCAGGGCGGGCTGGAAAGCGGCGAGAAGCGCAACGGCGCTGGCGAGCGGTGTGGGTGCCGGCGAGCTGATCCGAGTGTACAGGCAGGATGGTGGAACAAGGCCCCACCTCTGCCCGGCGGTAGATGGGTCCCGAGCGCGCGCAGGGCGGGCTGGAAAGTGGCGGGAAGCGGCGGGAACGGAACGGCGCTGGCGAGCGGTGTGGGCGCCAGGGAGCCAATCGGACAGCACCGATGTGAGTTTGGAGGTTGGTAGACCCTAGCGTAGGAGTGCATAGCCGCTGCGTGGACTGGAGCAGGAAGGAGGGCTGCCGGTATGGGGTTTCATTAAAGCTAGCCGTGTAGGTCGTATAGGAGGCCGAAAGCCGCGGGAAAGGTGCCAGTCGAGAGATTTGGGGTGAGGCAATCCTGCCCTGCAGTTGAATAGGCGCCGCAACGGGCGGGAGCAGCGTAGAGCGAACGGTAGTAGGTGGCAGGAGGAAAGGGTCAGATGCTAATAATGACAAACAAAGGTGCACCTGCCTGAAAAGGCGAAGCAAACAACCCTCATAACATCCGTCCAGCCCCACGCCCCCTCTCAGAACCAGCGCGGTCGTGGCTGTTCTTATTGTGGGAACACACCCCCCCACTGGGCGCCGGCCGCGCGGCTGCGCCAGAATTCCCAAAAGCAGCTAAAATGGCGGGATACACCGCCACGCGCCCACGACAGCGCCGCGACAGTGTCGCCGCCTAAAGGCGGGACCTACTGCCTGTTATAGGTGCGCCTCTAGTTTGATATATCAGCCGCTGCTCTGGCCAGAGGTCCTGATGTATCAGCTCGCATCTCTTATCACAACCTTTTGATATATCATAATAGCACTATGCGCTGCAGGGGGTACAACATCTGGATAGAAAGTTCATTAGTACGGAACATACATTGCCTGTGCATTTATATGGCGCGGGGACGCTTACACTTCACCTTTGCGAGTAGCGGAATTTGGCAGGGGATCAATGTTTGCAGATGTTAGACATCAATGCTTCTTGCTCCCACCCGCCATTTTACCCGCCGCCGTTCTTGCTCTCTGCGCCCTCGTTCAGGCTATCCCACCACAACAAGCTCCCAAAGTGTCCCTTAATTCCTCCTGAAGACTCTTTCCCCTGGTTTCCCCCTTCCTGGTGGCTCCCAACCTCAATTCATTTTACACTTGCTGGATACACCCCGGGGCCACCCCCGCTTCTTGTCACGCACTGAGCCTAGGAAAACACTCAAATACTGCTCCCCAGGTTCTTAAATGCCCGCGCCGTGGCTCACAGTCTCCCTAGTGCCCTCGTACCTCTCTAGGCCCCCTTTTGGTACAGCCTTGCTACCCGCCTGCTCCTGCATCCCGCCACGCTCCAGCATCCCGCGCATTCTGAACGCCAGCAGCTCCGACACCTCATGTAGGTCTTGGGTACCTTGCCCCGCCATTTTTAGCGCTTCTCGCCCACTCCGTGCTCTGGTACACCCCGCCGTTCCTACTTTACGCTCCCGTCGCTTCCCGCTGCCCTCTAGCATCGTGCGCAGTCTGGGAGACCTCAACGTCACATCAGGCAAGATGTTTGACATTGCCGCCCGCTGTTTACTCACGCTCGCGCCCCCTCGGCCCTCGGAGACGCCCCGCGGCTCCCTCTTTCCCGCCGCCCTCCAGCGTCGTGCGCAGCCCCGGCGACCTTGCTGTCCCACCGGGCAAAGTCTTTGGCACTGCTGCCTGTCCTTCCCAGCGCTGGTGGCTTGCCTGGGCATCGGTTACGGCCTTCGTTTCCACCGCGCGCTCTCCCGCTCTGCGCCGCACTTCAGCACCATGTGCACCCCAAATGTCCTCACCCACACTTCCTGCGGTTTCCTTGGAGTCGCCGGCCCCCGTTCCGACCCACAGTGCCCGGAGCTTGGTGATTCCCCTTTGTTCCCGAAACGCGCGGATCCCATATCACCTCTTGACAATCCACTACATATTTATATATACCTTATTCACACTGTCTTTATTCTATCTTGTATAGTAGCTAACCTCTCTCACAATCTCTTTTATTTTGATTCCTCAATTACCCGTGGAGACCTCTCGGGGTCTCTGGTAGCTAAACTGAGCCTAACTCGGCTAGAGAACTCGCAAAGACGCTCTGGACCGCGAAACGGGGCCAGGAGATGGAAAACGAGGGCAGGTGGTAATGATCTCTATGTACGTACAATCCTAATATGGGTTCTTGGCACCGCCACACCCGACACGAGAAACTGGTCTTTGCGTGAATTCGACCCATCAACGTTCTGCATCAACATTAAGATCATCCAAGAAATTATCCATCTGCGTGAATTGGTGCCTTAACAGCTTGGAATCCAAGTGCACAGTTTAATGATGGCCACATGAAACCAATTTTTTCTGAAGTTCAGACAAAAATATGTGAAATTATCGGAAGATGAGTCGACGGGGTAGTAGGAGATTACTTCCGGCAGCCAAGAGTTACCATTTTGGGTAACGTTGTTGTCGCAAGATATTCCTTCCGATGCCAATCTCACTCGTTTGCTCAGGAAATCTGCGAGGGTGTTTATTGGGTCTTGGTGCATGTACCATGACATTTCTAACTCTCTTCGACACTCTCTCGTTACCATATTATGAGTATTGATAATGTGGTTCCATACTTGCTCTTGGACACCCATTTCTTGAAATGCAACCGGATCTGAGTCTCCGGACTTCATTGGTTCCTCCTCCTCCACCCAAAAATCGTTCGAAACTAAGTGATTGATGGAGAGAATGTCTCGCAATATCGTCGTTTTCAGGATCCTCATCCTTTTTTGAATTTTCAATTTCAACCTCTCGTCAAGAGATGCGGTTTATCGAGGCAAGAAACTCACCTGATTCAGATTTCTTACCTGGTGGATTGAAATGCAAGGAGAACTCAAATGGTAGGATTCTCATCGGTATTGATTTGGTGCTTGGCAGCATCCTCGCGCCAAATCGATGTCTCAGGACTTCCTTGGTTCCCTTCCCCTCCTGAAATGTTCAAAACTCAATGAGCAAAGCAGAGAATCTTCAGCAATTGCGTCAGTTTCCGAGATCCTCTGAGCCTCACCCTACGGCCTGCTTTGTATTTGGGATTTCACCCTCTTGTCACAAGATGTGGTTCTTGGAGACAAAGAAGAAGGCCGATTCAGATTTTCTATTTTGTGCACTGGAACGCGGAGAGAACGCAAATATTACGATTCTCATTCTGTAGCCAATCGGCACCCGGCGGCAGTCCCTCGGCATCACGGCTTCGCCCATATCAACTGCCAAACCACCAGCAAACTACTATCATGCCACGTCTTTTCTCCCGCTTTCGGTCACGTCTCTTGTTTGGATATGTTGCATACTCTATTGCCGTTGATGTACAATTGTCGCAATTTTTGGCGCGATTTAATAATAGGGGAAGTCAAAGCGGTTGAGGGCGACCGATTCTCGACCGATTCTGATACCGATTCTTGACCGATTCTGAAAATAGAATCGGTCAAGAATCGGTATCAACTTTGACCCCCCCGCTTCTGAGTACTGTTTTTAGCTCGATTCTTCATGCAAGTATGCTAGCTGTAGATATATTTTATTATTTTACACCCTGGGGTGACATCATCACAAATGAACTAGATCAAATGTCGTTTTTTTTTGGCTTCCGCCATCATGCCCCGCCTTTCTTCGCGCCAGCGTCGCGCTCGAGACATCCTTACAACCTTCCTCGCGCACCATACCACACGTATTAAGGCCATTATTCGCCGGAGGAAGAAATCTAACCGGACTTTCGCACGTGCTGGCTTGGTGTCGGAACATATTGAAGAAATAAATGTCTTGCGCTCGACGGCCCCAATTTTCGACACGGTCTCAATCGACATGACCTCTGGCTCTAGCATCAGCACAGATTCTTCTGTCAACTCCTTGGTCAGCTCCGACCTATCCAGCGACGCGTCTGAAAGCAGTTACGATTGGTCGGACCTACTTGGGTCTGATTGGCGTGCATCTTCGACGTCTACATCCACAGATACATCCACGGATTCAGTCTTCGAGGACTCTGATAGCATGCCTGACTTGCATCCGGCCGGCTATCCTGATTCGGATTCAGATGTAGAAGACGCTGTCACTTCTGACAGCAGCTCCGAGACGGCTTCGACTGCAAGCTCTGGGGTCGATGGAGATGACGAGGGGGGCTGGGGGGATGATATGGGAACTGAGGAGGAATACGGGCATAGCGCTATACGTGCCAACAAGTCTTTGAGATGGGTGCGACACAATTTGGAGGAAATGTACAGCACGCGTTACGAACTTGCGCGCGACACCTTTCCCCACCCACAGGGGCCTTCCTTATTACGCCACACACTGGGGCCCCTGAAAAATACACGTCCGGACCTTTTCCGCCAGGAACTTCGCATGTCCCCATTCACCTTCGACAAAATCGTCAAAAGACTTGCTGGCGATCCTGTCTTCGCAAACAATTCCTCCAACGGCCAGATGCCGGTGGAGGATCAATTGGCTATCACGCTCTTTCGCTTCGGTCATTCGGGGAATGCTGCTGGCCTCCAGAAAGTCGCAAATTGGGCTGGTGTCGGGAAAGGCACCATCACGCTAGTGACGCGCCGTGTCATGACGGCGATCCTTCACCCAGACTTCATGGCGGAAGCCGTGCGGATGCCGACAG